AAATTGCAGAATTCAAATACTTTTTAAAGAAACTAGATTTTTAAAATTCTCCATTTAATATGATCCCATTAGAAGTTAAGGAGCAAGATATGAATTTTTTTTAAAGATTTATTTTTATTGAAAGACGGATATACAGAGAGAAGAGACAGAGAGGTAGATCTTCCGTCCAATGATTCACTCCCCAAGTGAGCGCAACGGCCAATGCTATGCCCATCTGAAGCCAGGAGCCTCTTCCAGGTCTCCCACGTGGGTGCAGGGTCCCAAAGCTTTGGGCCGTCCTCGACTGCTTTCCCGGGCCACAGGCAGGGAGCTGGAAGGGAAGCGGGGCTGCCGGGATTAGAACCGGCACCCATATGGGATCCCGGGAGTACAAGACGAGGACCTTAACCACTGTGCCACTGCGCCGGGCCCAAGATATGAAATTCTTTAAAAAAAAAAAAAAAAAGGATGATCGAGCATTTAGTGCAGTAGTTGAGACCACATCTCATATCAGAGTGCCCAAGTTTGAATCCTGGATCTGCTTCCAAATCCAGCTTCTAGCTAATGTACACCCTAAAACACAGCAGATGTTGGCTAGAATATTTGGGTGCCTGCCATTCATGTAGGAGACCTAAACTGGGTTCCAACCTTCAGGCTTCAGCTTGTTCCAACCCTAGCTGTTGTAGGAATTTGAGGAGTAAACCAACAAATGGAAGATCTGTGTGTGGGTGGCAGGGGTCCAAGCACCTGAGCTATGTGCTGCTGCCTCTCAGGATGTATAAACAGGAAGTTAGATTAGAATTGGAGGTGTGTGAGACAAAGTTGTTTTGCAGATCCCTCCAACTGAACTGCTGATCTCAGAACCCCAATCATGAAGAGACTATGTCAGCCAGTAGATTCTGAATAGATTTCATCGTGATTGGAATGGTGAGATTGGCAGCAATTCAGAACTGTTGAACTATCACAACTGCTTGAGCAGGACCCTCAGAGCATGCCTCACATTGGGACCTGGGATGGGAGGCAGGCTGGGTGGGGCTTTTCCGTTTGTTTCTCCCCTGACCCCAGATACAGGAGGAAAAAATGATGATATTAGTGTGGAAACAATGGTTTTACCCACTTTCCTGTAGCCCTTGACCCTTTGTACCCTAAGTAACTAAGTAAGATTAATTAAAAAAAAAAAAAAAAAAAGAACTAGAGGTGTGGGGGACTCAGACCAGCACTCAGACATAGGATCCAGGCTCTCAAGCTGTGACTTAATACTGCCAGGTTATTTTAGTAATTTTTAATGTGTGAGATTGTGGTGAAAATATGTATACTTTACCATGAAATGTAAAATAGCTAATATGGTGATTCCAACCTCAGTTTATAATAGTATTTCTGATTTTAAAAGTAACATGTTTTTGTTGAATCTCAGTGTTGGCAGAAATACTTGTTTCTCTTTCTTAGTTCCACTCTCTCCAAACTCCTTCTCTTTCACATAGCAGATGGCTGCCTACCAGTTACAGAAAATACAGGGCATCTTCCAAAAAGTCATGGACTCACATATTTTAAAAAATTATTCACAGACCCCAAATTTTTGGCACCAAAGTAAACATCTGTTAGTTCCGTCTTCTGTGAACTTTTGAGGGTCCCTTGTAAACCCCATAGCAAGGACACTTCTAGCTGCCTGTTTGAAAGTGGCAAGTTAGTACCCACACACCCCGTGGCCTTTCTCTCTGGTTTCAGGAAAGAGAAGTTTTGAGAGGTTGTATTCCTCCATCCATGTCTTGAGTGCTCTCTCTACTGGCCCCCTTTAGGACTTCCCTTTGCCCATCTGGACAAACCAGTTTCCTGCTTTTAGCCTTGAAATATGTGGAATTCTTTCAAAGTGAAAACTCTTGTGAACTTCCTGGGATCGTTCACAAATTGCTTTAGTTGTAATTTTAAAGAGGTGTGAAAAACTGTTATGGTTCTTGTATAAGATAAAAACAATTTTATAATTCAGTAACTGTTGATAATGAAACAAAAGCAAGTTTAGACAATAATAAAAAAATTCATAAAAGCTGGGACATTTGCACATACATAACTTAATAAGATGAAATTAAACAGCAGCTTAAAAGTGAAAATACTGTTTGCTACTCTGTAGAGTTCTCCAGGGATGCTGCATGTGGTAACTCAAAATTTTGTGACTCTTCTCTATTCTAACTCTATCTCATTATCTTTTCTAAAAGATTTATTTATTTTTATTGGAAAGGCAGATATATAGAGAGGAGGAGAGACAGAGAGGAAGATCTTCTGTCTGATGATTCACTCCCCAAGTGGCCACAACGGCTGGAGCTGAGCTGATTCAAATCCAGGAGCCAGGAACCTCCTCCAGGTCTCCCATGCAGGTACAGGGTCCCAAGGTTTTGGGCTGTCCTCGACTGCTTTCCCAGGCCACAAGCAGGGAGCTGGATGGGAAGTGGAGCAGCCAGGATTAGAACCGGCCCTCATATGGGAACCCAGCGCATGCAAGGTGAGAGCTTTGGCCATTAGGCTACTGTGCCAGGCCAGCCCCATACTTTTCTCATTCTAATAAAATAAATTCAGGTCCTTTAAGAAATTCACTGTGGCCCTGCAGTGCTACTTTGGTTTTCTAAGAATATTTAATTACAACCCAATTCAGAGTTATCATGATACTTATCACTGTATATTGCTCATTTGTCTCTCAGTTTTCATCTACCCATCTAGTTAAATTGAACCTTTCCCAACCATTTATTGAAATCATAAAATAACATTGTGTCTTTTTAAAAACTTGTTTATAACATGAGTGTTTCCCTGTGGATTACTCTAAAACCTTTTTACTTAATATTAATTATATTTTATTTATAAAAGTATATTTCAACTATTTTCCTGTAGCTATACATTTAGACTGCTTTCAACTTTTCATATTTATTTTTATCCTTTATTTTCTCAGATTATATCTCTAGTAGTGGAATCACAATAGTTTCTTCTTTTGCAAGTTTTCAAGAATCTCAATGTATGCCTGAAACCACAAGTGGAACTGAATTTTACAAGTTGACTATCCATTATCCAAAATTCTTGGGGCAACAAGTATCTTAGATATCAGTTTTAGGAGAATTTTGTATAAACACAATGAGGCATTTTGGTAATGAAATCCAAACCTAAACATTAAATTCTTTTATATTTCCTAGAAACCTGATATACCTAACTTGAAAGTGAATTCACACCATATTTCTATTGCACTTGAATTTCGACTACAACCTATCATGAATCACATGAGGAGTTTTCTACTTGTGGCATCATGTTGCAATTTAGAAAGGTTTGAATTTTGGATATGTTAGATTTTGAATTTTCAGGTTAGGGATAGTTAACTTACATATGCTTTTTTTTTTGTAGACACGTAGCTGTGAGATAGTTGATAAATTAGGGACAGTGATCGATCAACAGCAATAACTAGTAACAAAATAGAACAACTACAATAATACACTGTATTAAAAATTATGTGAATGTGGTGTCTCTCAAGACACCTTATTTGACAGTTGTTACCCTTCTTCTTGTGATGAGGTGAGATGAAACAGTGAGAGGAAGTGCGGGACTGTGTGTCAGCACGAGGTTAATGTTGTCCTCATTGGATCACAAGAACTGCAGGGTCACAACTGGGAGAACTGACAGTTGATCCGATAACTGATCTGGCCACTCAGTGACTAATAGATGGCGGTATATTCAGCATGGACAAACTAGACAAAGGGGTGATTCATACAACCTAAAACTCATGAATTGTTTATTTCCGGAATTTTCCACTTAATATTTCTGGAACATGTTTGCCCTTGGGTGTCTGTGACTAGAAAACACAACTGCCAGTAAATACGGATTACATACATACAGTACTGGGAGCTGAGGAGAACATTGGACAGAGTGGGTGATGGCTTGTGTTCATTTTTAAAAATTATGTATGTATTCATTTATTTATATTTGAAAGGCAGAGTGACTGCTGGGTCACAACCCAAATGACCTTAGTAGCTAAGCCAGGGGCCAGAAACTACCTCTCCATCCTCCACATGGGTGCCACCTACTGCTTACCAGGCACAGTAGCAGGGAGCTGGAGAGCAAGGAGCAACAGGCATTCCCAGCAATCCAAGGGGGTGTCAGTCCCAAGCAGAGGCTTAGCCTACTGCACAACTCCAACGCTGTAGATTCTTGGTTGTCTTGTTGCCTGTTTGTCATAACCAACAACAAGTTGCATCTCCTCTCTAAGCTTCAGCTCCTTTATTTTAATAGAGAAAATACTTACGGCCTAATGTATGATTTTTACATAGTATATGATGATAGCAAGTACTAAATTATAACAACTGCTGACTCAGAAATATTATTTTGTACCTAGGAAGAACTTTGTGTAGATATTAACAAATCAAAGGTAAAATTCACCCGTTTACACTTCCAAAGGAAGTGATGAAATCATGATTATAAAATTTTGCGTTGTAAAAAGTATGCAATATAAAAGGAGCTGAATTTGTTTCATTCTACAATACCTGCTTAGTGGAAATGTAAACATGTCTCTAAGTAGTGTAAAGAAAAAAACAAAACAACTGAGCGTATTTACATTTTTACATTCCCACGAAGATAGCCCTGCTTAAAAGCCTGTGCCCCCACGCCGAAGCAGAGGCCCTAAGGAGAGGTGAAGAGGTCGTTTTCTTTACCTCCAAGGAAATTCAGGCTTTGGAATAGAAACATGACAAAGTACAAACGGGAAATACATGGTACTGGAAAAGAAACGAGAAAATTTGAGTGGGTCTCCGATTTTTTTTTTTACTAAGTTCTGTCGCTTGAAGGAGCGTTTAGGGCAGCGCAAGAGCGAGGAAGTTTTAGCTCTTTCCAACGCTCCAACTAAGACAGCCCCTTCTGATGTAGGCTCCATTCTTTCAGGGAAAGCTTCCCTGTCTCCTTGGCAACTCGGCCAGCCACCAATCGCAGCTAAGCTTGGTGGTCACGTGACGTCTGCCCGCTTCCCCGGAGAGAGCCAACATGGCTACCTCGGCAAGCAGCCACTGTGAGGTTTGATTTTTTCACCTGGTAGCTGCTGCAAGCAGACCATGGCGTCTGCAGCTCTGTGCGACTTGCCTCAGAACCCGGAAGAACTCCCTGGGGAACCGTCATCTCAAGAAGAAGATGAGGATTGTGATTCTGAAGATCCAGTCAGCGACTCGGCTTCCTACTCTTCAGCGGGTAGCCACTCTGAGTAAGGCTCTCGAGGCGGGACAATTAAATCCATCAAGTGGCTGGGACGAACTGCGAGGGTGCCGGTGTGGTTGGACTTGAGTATCGGAAGTTCTCTCTGTAGCAGAGGTCCTTTGCTCAGGTTTCAGCTGCCGTAATGAAGCAGCTTTGCTCCTGCAGGGTTTTGTGATTCTGGGGTGAGGAGGAGCTTCTTTTATTGGTATTGGGGTTCGTGCTATATGAGGATCTGTTAAGAGTCCATACAGTCTTGTTCCTTATTGAGGTATCTTTTTGCTTCTCCTGCTCTTGGTAACTTATGTATTTGGGCTGGAATGAATTTCCTGCACATTTCACAAGCTATTTAAGTTATGTAGGCTTTTGTTTGTTTTTTATGTATGTGCACCAATATATAGCAAAAGGAATGCTGACTCTTACAGTCACATCATACTAATATATATGTTATATATTATATGTGTGTGTGTGTGAGTGAACTTTACCCTTCCTATTATTCACTCCAAGTGTCCCAGGCTCTTCATCATCCTAATAGTAAAAGCACAATAAATCCCTGTTGTAATGTTTTGCTGGTTTGTGTTTCGAGGACACATTTTATGCTTGTCTCTTCTTGCTTTGTGAGAGATGAGGGTTGGTTTGCTGACTTGGCCTGGAAGGCTCATGTTCCAGTCCTGCTTTATGGTAGTAGCTATCTACCTCGCTGAGCTTCAGTCATCCATGCTCACCTTGGGCAGAACCCCTCTCTGGTCAAAGGCAAGGGAGTTCAAACCCCCATCTTTCTCCTTAAAGACGAATCGTTGCTCATCTTTCATGGTCTACATGAAGCCCACTGAGGAGGTCAGACTACGTATTGTCTCATGTAAATTATCCCGAGCTTTTTTTTTTTTTTTAAGATTTTTTTTAAGATTTTTTTTTTTTATTTGAAAGGAAGATTTCCAGAGAGACAGAAAGATTCCCCATCTGCTGTTGCACTCCCCAAGTGGCTGCAACAGCCAGAGATGTGCTGATCCAAAGCCAGGAACTTCCTCTGACTCTCCCACAAGGATGCAAGGAGCCAAGATTTGGGCTGTCCTCCACTGCTTTCCCAGGCCACAAGCAAGCATGCTGGATGGGAGTGGGGGCAGCTGAGACACAAACCAACATCCGTATGGGATGCTGACTCTTGCAGTTGGAGGATTAGCTTGTTGAGTTACAGTGCCAGCCTCAGTATCCTGAACTTTTAAGGTTTTAGTTAATTATCTGCATGTTCTTTCTGGAAGATTTCATCGTTTCATACATGGTTGTACCTAAAAAAACAATTTGTGCTGCCTGTGAGTATCACTACATAACATTTTTGACATGAAAATTAGTTTAGGGTACATTATATTGGAATTTTAAAAAGTAGGTTTATTTGAGCCCAGCACAGTAGCCTCCTAGCTAGAGTCCTTGCTTGCACATGCCAGGATCCTATATAGGCATCATGTCCTGGAGGCCCTGCTTCCCATCCACCTCCCTGCTTGTGGCCTGCGAAAGCAGTCAAGAACAGTCCAAAGCCTTGGGACCCTGCACCCATGTTGGAGATCCAGAGGGCACTCCTGGCTCCTGGCTTTGGATCAGATCAACTCAGCCCTGGCTGTTGTGGCTGCTTGTGGGGTGGATTAGCAGACGGAACATCTTCCTCTCAATCCTCCTCTCTCCATATCTGACTTTCCAACAAAAAATAATAAATACATCATTTTAAAAAAAGGTTTGTTTTAGACTTGTTTTTAGGAAAGGTTTTAGATTAAGCAGTATATCTTTATAACATTTATTTATTCATGTATCTATTTGAAAAGCATAGACTGAAGGCAGACAGATTTCCCATCTGCTGGTTAATTCCCCAGATGCCCACAGCTGTCAGATCTGGGCCAGGCTGGATTCAGTCCAGGGCTCCCACGTGTGCTTAAGTCCTCACCTGCTGCCTCCCAGGAACCGTGCTGGAACAGAGCTGGAACTGAAACCCAGGGGCTCACGTGTGGAGTGCAGGTATCCCAAGCACCTTGCTGACCATTGTGTCAAATGCTCATACGGGTGCAGTATTATCTTTTTTTTTCAATTATTAAAGATTTTATATAAAAGGGAGAGTTACAGGGAAAAGGAAAGACAGAGAGAGAGGTCTTCTATACATTGGTTCACTTTACACCAACTGGCTACAACAACTGGAGCTGAGTTGATCGGAAGCGAGGAACCTGGAGCTTCCTCTTGGTCTCCCTCATGGGTGGAGACCATGCTCCACTGCTTTCCTAGCCCAGGAGCAGAGAGCTGGACTGGAAGTGGAGCTGTGGGGACTTGAACTGATGTCCATCTGGGGATGCCGGTGACTCAGATGGAAGTTTAGCTTATTACACCACTACGTTGGACCTGTTTTGTTTTGTTTTGTTTTTATTTGGAAAACGGAGTTACAGAAAGAAGGAAAGACAGAGAGAGGGGTACAGTATGGCTTCCCTGAGCATCCGGGGAAGTTCCTCGGGAGGCCTCAGAGATTGGATTTGATTGATGAAACCATTGCCTACTTTCAATACTGAGGTAACAGAAATCAAACATTTACTTTCAATGACATCACCTTTCTTTGCTTTGGCTTTTATAATTTATGAAAGCGGGGCCTGGCACAGTGGCGCAAGTGGTTAAGGTCCTCGCCTTGCACGCCCGGGATCTCATATGGGTGCCGGTTCTATCCCAGCAGCCCCGCTTCCCTTCCAGCTCCCTGCCTGTGGCCCGGGAAAGCAGTTGAGGATGGCACAAAGCTTTGGGACCCTGCACCCGTGTGGGAGACCGGAAAAGGCTCCTGGCTTCAGATGGGCATAGTATCGGCCGTTGCGCTCACTTGGGGAGTGAATCATCGGACGGAAGATCTTCCTCTCTGTCTCTCCTCTCTGTATATCCGCCTTTCCAATAAAATAATAATAATAATAATAAGATACTATAATTTATGAAAGCAACACTGGTTTGTTCCTATTGGCCAAGAATTCCTAACTTTACCACTTAGATTTTTAATTTTTCATAGATTTTTAAATTTATTGTGTTTTAAAACTCTGGTTAATAGAGAAAAAGAAGAATGATTTTAGAAGAGATTTGAACTTGAAGGAGGGAGTAAGGAACTTGTTCCTAAAAGGGGAGGATTGACTGAAGGAGAAAGCAATTGTGTCCTTTGTATTTTTTTCTTGGGGATTTTTTGGGGGGATGTAAGTGGTATAAAAGTCACCCATATTTAAAGTGTAGTTTGTTATGTTTTTGACATGTTTTGTCTGTCAGGATAATGCACATATCCATTTATCCAAGGTCAGTCATGTTCCCCTGCTCTTCACAGCCACTTACCTGTTTTCTGTCACTGTACATTCCTTTATGTTTTCTAGAGCTTTAGAGATGTGGACTCCTGTAGTATGGACTTTGTTTTTTGTGCATCTCATTTTCCTCTGCATTCATTTACTCATTTTCCTTTTGACATTCATTCATGCTCCTTTTTGTTTTTCTGAGTAGCTTTCCACTATATGGATATAACGACTTATTTTTTTTTCTTGGATTTTTTTTTCTAAAGATTTATTTTATTTTTATTGGAAAGGCGGATATACAGAGAGGAGAGACAGAGAGGAAGATCTTCTGTCCGATGATTCACTCCCCAAGTGAGCACAATGGCCGATGCTATGCCGATCCGAAGCCAGGAGCCTCTTCCGGGTCTCCCAGGCGGGTGCAGGGTCCCAAAGCTTTGGGCCGTCCTCGATGCCTTCCCAGGCCACAGGCAGGGAGCTAGAAGGGAAGCGGGGCTGCTGGGATAGAACCGGTGCCCATATGGGATCCCGGGCGTGCAAGGCGAGGACCCCAACCACTTGCGCCACCGCGCCGGGCCCTTTTCTTGGATTTTAACCAGGAATTTTGCTACTTGCAGAATAAAAATATTTCATCTAAACCCATGAGCCAATTTAGAATATTTCCTTTTTTTTTTCTGCTCTAAATCCTGAGTTCTTTCAATATAAATTTTCTTGTATCAAATCATATGGATTAAAAATGTCAAATGAAATGTGGTGGGATTAATGGTAGAAAATGGTCATTCCAGGCTACCATCACTTTCTATATCCAACTCAGCATGTTTGGAGAGAATTCATTCTCTTCCTTGTTTTATATGTTTTCCCTCTCCTTTGCTGGCTGCTCTTTACTACTGAGGTTTTCATGTCTAAGTGTGCAGTCCTGTTGCCCCTCCCATATGGTATCTTTTCCATTCCCATGGATTCTGCATACTTTGATAGGCTGGCCTCTCCCCTTTCTCATACTCCAGGGAAGTAGAGTTCTCAATGACCAGCATCCCTGTAATGTCTTCTCCCACTCTTTGTTCCATACTGTTGCCACAGTTTTGTTTGTTTGTTTTTAGGACTCATTTATTTGAAAGATACAGTGCCAGAGCAAAATGGAGAGAGACAAAAATCTTCCATCTGCTTGTTTACTCCTCAAATGGCAACAGCAGCTAAGCCTTGAGCCAGGATACTAGAAGTTCGTTTGGGTCTTTCATGTGGGTGGCAGAGGCCATCTGCTGCTGCCTTCCCTGGCACACTGTTAAAGGAACTGGATCAGAAGTGGAACAGCCAGGATTTGAACTGGTGCCCCATGTGTGAGGCCAGTGTCAAAGGTGGTGGGTTAATCTGTTGTACCACAGTGCTGTCCTCCAGAGCTTATTTTCTATCTATCACTGTTCTACATCATTCTTCTACTTCCTCAAAAGCTTGATGACTTCCCAAATGAATGCTAGGTTCCTTAGGATGATTTTTAAAGCTATTTTAGATCTGTCCCATTTTTCTTTTCTTACTAGAGCTTACTGAAAATAGGCTTGACTGAATGTTTTGTCATAGTTGGATTAGCTGAATTGTGTGTGTGTTTCTATTTTTATTATGTGTGCTTTCTCTGTCCTTACAACATCCTGCTGTAGCCATTATCATGATATAACTACATATTTTGGGCACTGGTACTGTATCCACTAAAAATAAAGGCTGGTATAATGTAGCA